GGGGAAGATATCAGAGAACCTGTTAAAGCCATCAGAGCTGCAGAAGGCACAAGCACCAGAGCCCTGACCCCTATCTCTGGTAAGCCTGATCCTTCAATATACTTTGAAAGGGCAAGACAAAAGAGGATTGCTGCTGGTATTCAAAGACCTCCTCTTCCTCGGTTCAAGAAAGGGAAGAAGTCAACCTCCACCTTCACTCTTGCCCAGTGGCTCAACAGTGATCTGGCTAAACCTGATGCTGCTCAATTCAGAGAAATGAAGAAGCATATGACCCCCACACAACAAGAGAATCTCATTCTTGACAAAGATGGGCTGATAATCATAAACCATGGTGGCTCAATGCAAGAGGCAGAAGATTGGTGGCGGATGAAAGTGATCCCTGGCAAGGACCTATCAGAAGCCATCAGAAACTATCTAGATTGCCAGCTTGAACCTGCCTGGTCAGAATATCAGAATCCCAGGAATCTTGCTACAATCAGAGCTAGGGTCAATGCTGATCTGAAAGAAATTGAAGCAAAGGAAGCTGACCTAGAAGAGGAAGATATCTAAACTCTATCTCCTTGTTGCTTTAAATATCTTTCATTTATAAGATAACCAGCTTGCCTCTAATTTGCATGGCAATTTCAAATTATTTCCCTATTGCATTCTGATTATTTATGCTCTGATATCTTATGTTATTTCTTATCTTACTTATTTGATTATTGTATCTTACTCTTACTACTTTCCTATGCTAAGTGCCCACCAAGTTTTTAAATGAAAGTTTATTTTTAACTTATTTTCTTTATGGTGAAAGGCACTTCTCTGGAAATAGTTTAAGGGTTTTGGCATCATCAAAAAGGGGGAAATTGTAAGGAATAAATGTAATTAGATTTTGATGATGCTATAGGATTAGAAAGTCAGAGTACCCCCAAATTAGATTTTATGTATTAGAATTTTCAATTGTAAGTATTAGTGTAGTCAACGATCAGAGTTGCTCTATTTTGGATCAGATCAGAAGTGCATCAGAACTGCTCGACCAGACTTGCTCTATGAGAACTGCTCCATCAGAGTTCTCTTACCAGAAGTCCATCAGAGGTACATCATGAGAGTTGCTGATAAGCCTGGACATCTGATAACCAATGAGAGTTACAGATCAGAGGTACTCATCAGCGGACCTATCAGAGTCAGAGTTAGAGTTCAGTCAGAGATCAGAAAGCCATCAGAACTCAACTCATCAGAAAGCCATCAGAACTCAACTCATCAGTAAGCCATCAGAATCCAACACATCAGAAGAGCCTGATCAGAGCCCGACTAACACTTAGAAAAATTTTCAAGCAACATCCAACAGCTATGAATTCAACGAAAAAAAAAAACATCCAACGGCTACAAGACTGTGCATGAAAGGAAAGCATTTAATGCACATTAAATGAGCCTGATACGCTGAAGGATTGATTGCAAATGATTGACCAAAGAATCCGGGAAGATATTTTATAAAAATAGAAACCTTCCAAAAACGGCGGTCAAGTCAACTGTACGCGCATTTAATGCAGTTGTCTCCTCCTCCAACGGGCAGACAACCTCAGTATATAAGCTACACACCGAAGAACAGAAATACAACTTTGCTATAACATTTGCTCATCATCATTCAAGCTCTCTTGAGATTCAAATTCCACAACCTTCAACAAGACAAGCTTACGTTGGGAAGATTAAAACTCCAAATCTCTCATCCCCAACAAACAAGCAAGCAAAGTTCATCCTGTTCCTCAACACTTCAAGAACTTCATCAAACATCATTTATAACGAAGCAAGTTGGAGGAAAAACTCTGTTTTTCAAAAGGATCTTCTGAAAAGAAGGGCGTCCAAGTAACTGCAGTAGTGAAGTGGTGATACTTCCGGGAAGCTGAGTGAAAGGATCAGCCATCAGGACGTGGAATTGCATCCTGGGTGGCATCTAGGCTTGAAGAAGACGAGGAGTGCTTCTTAAGTGCTAGGAATTAGCTTTGTAACTGATCTACTTCAAAGCTAGTGGAACAGTGGACTAGAGGAACGAGTTGTTCCTTGAACCACTATAAAATATCCGGTGTCATTTACTTTACTGCAATTTATATTTCTGCACTTAGGATATTAACTGATTAACTCTAAGACTTGGAATCTGTGTTCAGCAGATCTTGTTTTCAGAGTTATCAGAAAGGCATTTGCCTTAGTATTTTTCTGAGGCTACCCGGACAGATCAGAATCCGCTGCCAAGGCCAGTTCTGATATCAGAACCAGCCTTTCTCTGTCATCAGAATCAGACCTTCTCTGATAAGTCACTTCGGACTTAGAGAAATTTTGAAAAACCAACCAGTCTATTCACCCCCCCCCCTCTAGACTGGTTACCATATTAAACGGGACCAACACTTCCGCCAACCTAGCTTCTTCCGCAGGACCTCGTCGCTGCCGTTGCCAGACGCCGCCGCCGGTGCCGGATCTGCCATACTCTGATTTTGGGTCCGATTTGGGGAACGATTGGGGACCGCCGCTGCAGGTGGGGTCCGATTCGGGGCCGCTGCTGTTGGGGTCCGATTTGGGGCCGCCGCCGCCGCCGGTGGTGGTGTTATGGCTGAGGTTTGTGCGAACTGGCTGGAGAAGGACATGGGGGAAGAACAGGGGCGGGGATGGGGAGCAGGGGAGGAGGGTTGGGGACAGGGGGTAGGGCTGGATGTTGGGGGTGAGGGCGGGGTGGCTGGATGTTGGGGGTGAGGGCGGGTGGCTTGTGGTGGTGACTGGCGGTGACCACCGGGGATGGCTCTGTCAGTGTGACGCTGGCGGCATGGATGGAAGGGTAAGGGGAAGTTTATTGTCTACTTATTGTCTATTTATTGTCTATTTAATGTCTGTTATTTTCTAAAAGTAAGGGTATTGTGGTCAATGTAGGTGTAGTTGAGTCTTACACTAATCTTCGATCTTAGTTTTGGAAAATCCTTACGTTTTGCTCCTACTTGTTGAAATCTCCCTTAATTCGGTAAGCTACTTGTTGTGACAATGATCAATGAAATAAAGAGACCCAGAAACTAGAGATTGAAGCAAATTTGACAATGTTCGAAAAGGTGCTAGGTGCTAGTAGGGCGCTAGCCCAGCGCCTAGCGCCTAGGCGGCTTGCCTAGCGCCTAGACGGCTAGGTGGGCGGCTAGGCGAGCGCCTAGTCGGGGACTAGTCGGAGATATAAAAATTGCATTTTATCTATATTTTTGCATAAATATGATAAATAATAATGTATTTTTGTGTATGTAAAATACATATATACATACATTAACATACATGAATAATAGAATTATCACATTTAATCATACATAGTATATGATAACTAATCACTTGACTTCATTTTGTTATAAATATAAATAATGATAAAATTTAGGTATATATACAAACACATATAGTTACAGTACATATATCCATGGCTAAAGTTAAAGTACATTTATCGCTTAGAAAATTAAAATTAAAAAAGTGATGTAATGTTCGGCGAATCTAGACAGCCCAGGCAGCCGATTAGGCATTCTAGGCGGGCAACTAGGCGCCATAGGTGACTGACTAATTCACCTAGAATGCAAACCAATTAGTCGGTGTGCCTAGACGAAAATCGGGGCGCCCGACCACCGCCTAGCGCCTAGGCGGAGACTAGTCGAGCACCTGGAACGATTTTTAGAACAGAGATACTACGTACAAGTTATGCACGGACTCAATTTACCAACCCATTGCTAATGACAATTTTAATTTGCACGTAAATTAGTTATGGACATAAAGAGTGCGTTATTTTTAAGAAAAGTGTAGCAAATTAAACCATTCAATCATTTCACTTAAATAATACGGATGTATTACTCCACAAGCAATCGTCTTATAAATCTCGCATGTTTCAAGTTTTAATGGCGACAGATTGAAAGAGACATTTCCTTAGCCGTGATTAAAGTATCTAATTTGGTTTGTCATTAACGTAACGTCCTCCTCAAGATTGACCAAATTCACCATTAAATAAACATACTGCGTAGCATATACTAATAGGATATCAAATTTATCAGACTTATCGATCAATTTTTTCACTAAATATGTATTCGAAACTTTTAATTTCGTACGCTGAATTGTGTAATAATAATGAAAAAGTAAAGTTGAATTTATTTGTTTGACTGTATTGACCAAATTTACTATAGAACATCATTTTCATATAAGTTTTTCTTTATATTATTAATAAAAAGTATTTAAATATAATTTATATAAGTTAATAGAATCAGCCAATTCAATCATTTCAACCAGAATTTCATAAATTTCAACAAAATTCACTGATTCATAAAATTTCAATATTACCAAACGAATTCATACACTCCATTTTTTGTATCATACATAAATTTGGTCAAATCTTAGTATGAACAAATTATTCGTCACTACAAAAAAATTACGTTATTGACTTAGATTTGACACAAATTTATGAATCATTTCGTGTCAAATAGCCCGTGTCAAATTGCTTTAAGACACAAGTTTGGCATATTCATGCCAACTTTTTAATGATTTTTTTAAATTTCTGCAAAAAATAACTGAAATCCTGTGTGTTTTTTGTATTATCATGTCAATCATTTTTTAACTCAAAATTTACCGATATCACAAAAAATTGTATTAAAATCGATCAAATTTATTTATGTCAACCAAATTGAGCGTGCACAATTTTCTTGTGTAACAAGAATTTTTCCCCTAAAAACAGCATCCCTCTTTACTCCGTCGCCTGTCCCAATGGACGACTCATCACTTTTCAAAGGTGCCACGGTGGCGCACAGATGCCACTTCACCCACTCTCAACTACCTCTCATCCCCACTCACGCGCTCAAACGAGCACTACTAGAAGCGAGTACATTTCACTCCCACGCTCGAGCGTTAGACATTACCGGAATCATCCGTTATTGCCGGGAACAAGGTGCAACTACTCTGCGCGATGGTACAAGCCATAAATGCTACAGCAGCGTACACGTCACCGGAACTTTACTCTCCAACCTCCGTTTGTCTCGCTCGAGACAGTTACACTCCAAAAATCTCTCGATCGCTTTCTTCCTTCTTCTTCTCCGCCGATAACTTTTCCCTTCCGGCCACGCGTAACGGTCACATTTCCGGCGTCTTTTCTCTCTAAATATAATTCCATTTCATACTTCATATACACTATTTGCGTATATTAATCTACTTTAAACTATATACCCTGTTTGATTGTTGATTTGTGAAATACTATAAATCTGCTTTAAGTCAGCATCTGGATTGTGAGATTGAGATTGTAACGACAGAAATCAGTGAGAGAGATGTGAGGATTGAGGGAGTAGAATGGTGTTGAGTGCTGTGTCGACGACTAAAACGCCAAACCCTAAAGTGAACTATCAGAATCAGAAGAGGCAGACATTTTTGCCGTCCGAAGCTGGGAATGGAACTGCGAGAAAACCGAAATCCAGAGAGGTTACTTCACGGTACCAGTCGAGCTCTCTGCCAACCATTTCTACCTCAACTACGTCATCTTCCAACTCATCCAGTTCATTTTCGCCGTCATACTCCGTTTCCTCAAGGAAGGATAGATCGTCGGTATTGACGAGGGCGGAGAGACCGGCGGCGAAGCCCATACAGAATGCAGCTTCTGTTAAGCGGTCTCTGTCTGCGGACAGGCGCAGGCCGGGAACGCCCGTGAGGGCGGAGATGTCTGAGGCTGCTAAGCTGCTGCTGACCACGTCTACCAAGAGTTTGTCCGTGTCTTTTCAGAGAGAATCTTTCCCGCTGCCATTTAGTAAGGTTAAGAGGGGTACACCGGAGAGGAGACTAACAGTACAGTCCCCTGCTGCTAAGGATCGAATTAATAACCCAAAGCCTAGTGATCAAATGAGGTGGCCTGGAAGGTTAAAACCAAATTCACGTTTCTTAACTCAGAGCTTGGATTGTGGTAATGATGGATTTGGATTTGGATCCAGAAGGGTAGTTCCAGTTTGTTTTGAGAATAACCAAGCCAGAATTCAGGGCAAACCAAAATCTGAAAGTTTGAATGTTAAGCCACAGAGGAAGGTTGGTTCTGGTTTGGTCTGTGAAGCCTCTGATGGTGAAAGTATCTCATCAGGGAGTGCTTCAAGTGGGCACGAAGGTGGTTCTGTAGCTCATCTAAGCCTAAGACTGGGCAAGGTTCTAACACCCCCAGAGCAAAACACACCAGAATCGAAAAGCAATGTTTATAAATCAATGTCTCCTTTGAAGCAGATTCATAATAAGAAATATGCAAATGAAAAGCAAGTCTTCTCACCTACCAGTCGAGGATTTTCGTCTCCTCTTCGTCTTCGACCTGCTTCTCCCAGTAAGGCGTTACCTATGACACCTAATTATCCTCTGAGGGGGATGCCAAGTCCAACCAGAACAAGAACTGGTGATGTGTCTAAAGTGACCAATACTTTAAATGGCACACCTACTTCAACTTTGAGCTTTGCTGCTGATATCATCGGGAAAGGGAAGGCGGGTGAGAATCGGGTTGCTGATGCACTTGAGTTGAGGCTATTGTATAATCGGCACCTGCAATGGTGCTTCGTCAATGCTAGAGCAGAGGTAGCTTGTTATGTACATGCACAAAATGCTGAGGTGAGCTCTAAACTTGCCATAATTAATATACAGGTTTCAAGTCATACGTATCCTGCATATAGGAAGAGGAAGCAATAAAGCTTTAGGAATGCATAATTGGTACATGATGGAAACTTTATTTTCTGATCAAATAATTTGTGTTCTGCAATGAGGATTTCTGTTCAGCTGTCTGTTTTTAATTTGGAGTTGTAGGACATGAAATTTGGACATCAGAAGAAAAAAATGAGGCAAACTTCCATCATAATAAAACTTTCATTGTGTAGTTCAAGAGCTATTTTAAATTGAATCTTAACAGATTAGATGATTTTCTAGTGGTTGTCATATTAATTAAGCTATTTTAGGAAAGAAAATTTGGTTCATCGGCATGACTATTGAGTTGCTCAATGAAAAATTGAAGGCAACTCGTGATTCCATCTCTCGAATCCCATCTGCTGTTGACAACCTATTTGTTAAGAAATTTTATTGCATTATCACTGGATCCATTTATTTCCATCATTTGCAATGGAGCCAAAGATTCATTATTTTTTTGCTTGATAATATGATGGAATAAAGCAAAATGGCTCACCAAACTGTCATCTCTTCTTTGTTATGAAGCAGCAGTCATTCCATGCAATTTTGGACACGATTTTCATCATGGGTCATCCGGAAACAGTCTCTCTGTGCTTTAGTACAGGGGTAAGACTGCGTACATCCGACCCCCCCCCTTATCCCACCGTAGGTGGGAGCCTTTGCGGCACTGGTGTAAATGATGATTGATCACTGGATCCATTTATTGATAGCATCTTTAAGTTGTGTCCTTCAGTTTGATTGTATATCACCTCACTCTTACCTTTTGCTCCAGAGTGCCCTATACAATGCATTTTTGGCTACTTCAAAGTTACGCCATTCTGTTAGATCCAAAAAAACGGAACTGCTTCTATTGAAGCTCAATTTGAAGTTTTATTCCATCTTCAAGCAACAAGTAAGACATTCATTAAAAGTTTTTGTGGTTATGTAAATTTATAAAAGGAAATAATTTTACGAGAACTTGTTTTAATAATATTTGCATCTTTAACAGAAAAATATAAACAAAATACTGTATTTTGATGAACTTTAATTGGCCTTTACTAAATTCTAATTAATCTGAATTGAATATAGGTTCCTGGTTTGGAAAGTTGGGATCACATTGATGAAGAGCATTCCAGTTCATTGTCAGCTGCTATATGTGCTTTGGAGGCTAGCACTCTTCGCCTACCTGTTGTTGATGGTGCTAGGGTACATCTTTAAAAAACAAATCTCATGTCAAAGGACTTGTCGTTTTCATTTCCTTTCACACACCAATATTTTCAGAATACCAGGCCCTCCTTGAAAACCTATCGCTAAGTTTTTTTTCTGAATTTTTCTATTTGCAGGCAGATATTCAAAAGATAAAAGAAGCCATCTGCTCAACTGTTGATGTGATGCAAGCAATGGCGTCTTCAATATGCTCTCTGCTTCCTAAGGTTATTCCGTTCTTAAAGTAAACAAATCAAATATGCACATTTTGGATTTCCTTTCACGGAAGTTTGTTTATTGCCTTTAATACCAAGGTGCCCAATTGCTTTCATGTTAGCCTTTTTATACTGGTATATTTAGATCTGTAACCCTGAGAATAAAAGTAGACACAAAAATATTTGATTTAGTAGACTGTAATCACGAATAAAAAGAACCTAGTTAAGAAGTGCCATGTAAGGGTTATTGATCCTAACAAATTTGATTAGAACTTTATTCAAGCAAAAATAGAACAAAATGTTTTTTAATCATTTTGTTGTACTAGTAGTATATATAGCCCAATCTTAATCCGCTTTTCTGTATTTCACTACTCCTTTACATTGTAATCTTGAAGGATTTATCAGCATTTAATAAATTAGGTAAATGTCCCCGACGTTTACCCCACTCCTCAAGGTGGTTTTTTGGGACAAAAAAAAATAGGGTTCAAGATGAACACCTGTAAATTTGAATTCTTGTGATATTTTTTATCCAGTAATGTTTGATTTTCTACTGGATTAGAAATGCACGATCTCACTAGCCTTGATCTCATATTAGATTTTGTTAATAGACGCGCAATATGTTAAACTTTGAGTTGATATGAGGACTTGTTATTCCTTCAAAGGGATAAAATGATCTATATAAATGAAGAGTTGGTTGCGAAGTAGTGTTTGTTTTTCTTGTGAAGAGACATTTTCTTGTTGTGGCAATCCTAAGACATTAGGCAACACAAGCCATCCTCAGTGGTAAATGTCTTGAGTTGGATTACCTGTTCAAATTTTAATGCATTTTGCCAACTAACAGGTTGAACACACAAATGCATTGGTAAATGAGCTATCTAATACAGCTTCCCTAGAGTGTGCTTCACTTGATAAAAGTAAAGAGCTCTTGTCCATGGTGGCAGCAATTCAGGTACCCATGTATTTCATTCTACACGTAGCTAAAGATCTAGCATATATAAAGCTTATCATTTCAAATAGACTCTGTTAGGGTTCATATGGAAACTGTAAAATGACAGGGAAAGAAAACTGGGAGGAAAGACGTAAGAAATTCGGAAGGATTTTTTAGGAGAAAATAGATTCTGACTCAGTAATCAACTTTAGATACTTGGTGAATCTCATTTTATTAATATTTTTCGAATATAGAAAGACTAAGACATCTAAATGACTAAATATGTATAGATGTTAAAAAGTTTTAATCATATTTGATTTTTCTTCATACTTCCAAGGGTAGGTAAACTGGAATATTATGAAACCATTTTCTTTGATATTTCCCCCCATCCCTACCATTTTCCTTGTTCCAAATGTAAGCTAAGAGGAACAAGTAATACCAGCGTTAGATGTTAGTCCGGCGGTCAGTGGCGTATCCAGAAAATTCGGTCAGTGGGGGCAAATTTACACTAGTGTTATCACACAATTTTTAGGAAAGAAATATTAATTAAAAAATCCACAATGTATTAAAAATAAAATAACTTTTTTAAGAAACAGATGAAATATTTAATTATAAGTTTATAACTAATTTAAGTTACAAATAAGCAAGTCTGATTTAATACTAAGTGCGAAAAGGTGTGATTGAAATTACATTAAAATAAATTATTTTAAATTAATATATATGGATCTTATGTTTAAACATTCTATAGTTTATTAAGTTCAAAACCAAATTTGTATATAAAAGATGTTATTAAAATTAGTACGGAGTATCATTTTGAGTTTTTTATATATCGTCTAGTATCATTGAGTTGACATACTCCCTCCGTCCCAAATTATATGATACTTTTTGGTTTACGATGTTTGACCGACGATAAAGCAAACGGATCCCTGTTTGCGCTCAAATTATCTTTAGAAAAAAAGATACATATTCAGAAACTACATTAAAACTGCTACAAAACCTGCAAAAAATAATTAAAATTTCATAAAATTTTGATATATAAAGTAAGAGATTAAGAGTGATTTGTGTTGACCAAGTGAATAGTAAAGATATCTTATAAAATGGGACAGAGGGAGTAAGACCATTTGTACTGGTCAAAGAGTCTAAAATGTTAAATATGGACTCCGTCCATATGAAAATAGTGTTTAGACTCCTATTTTCCTGCATCTCATCACCGTCAATAAAGTACACTCAACATATTTTTTTACATATCGATTTAGTAAAACGTCAATTAAATTATTATACGTAATTTTTTTTGTTTAATTTTTCCCCCTAAATGATTATGAAATAAAAAATACACATTTTGATGTAAGAAAAAATAAATTTCTTTAAGAAAATTTTTAATATTATTTTTATTTTTTTAGTTTTAATAAAGAATAAAATGGTTTTATGTAATACTAAGTTATTTATTGAGATTCCCTGGATTAAAAATTTGTGTTTCGTATTTTCTTGGGATCAAGAAAACTCCAACAATTAAAATTTGAAAATTGTTTTATACTTTATACATGTAATATTGGTCTCATTTGAAAGGTTATAAAAAGTTAGGAATTTTGATATATTTTTTGAAAAATTTGGAGTAAAAATAAAAAAGTTATAACAATTTTTAAAAAATTGGGGTGTTATGACAAAAGCATGACATCATCTGTACCAAGAGCAAACCAACGGCCCGTCCTTTCTTTCCCTTTTTCTTTGCTTCTTTCCTTTACCCACTCTCTCAACCCACCCCTCTAAAAATACACCCCTCCATCCCTTTTCCCACTTTTAACCCCTCTTTTAACACACCACTATACTAAATTAGGAGTCTAAAATTTCCAACTTTAGCATTTTGGACTCCTAATCCTACACCACTACAAATGGTCTAAGAAAAAGGGATCAGTGGAGCTGGGGAGAATCGAACCTTTGCCACATATGTAAACAATAAAATTTAATATATATATATATATATATATATATATATATATAATGGGGTAAGGTGGGGGTTGAGTGGGGGCAGCTGCCCCCCCCTGCCCCCACGCTAGATACGCCACTGCCGGCGGTGGGCTGTTGCCATCTAGACTGCCTGGGGAGTGATTTTTATTTATTTTTATTATTCATATAATCATTTTATTAATTATTTCTATTTTTGGTAATAAAAACAGTTCATATGGTTCTTAAATGATGAGTATATTTTGTTATAAAGTAACAAGTAATAAATGATTATAGAAAATTAAAAGAAAATGAAGGTTTGTAATCTTAGTTATGGAGATAGATAGTTTATATACATTCGAAACTATGTTTTTTTTGCGAAATTTGGATTGATCATGAATAATTATATCATTAGAACTGAACGGCGCAAATAGGTTGGATTGGAAACCAACTATATTCGCCTAATTGACCACTGCCTAGCTCGACTTTAGAAAGTGAGCAGCACTGTAAAACTGTAGTGATATTTTGTTATCATGTAATCTGCAGAGTTAGAAATATGAAGTTTATTGCTAACATAGAGAAAAAAATAAACAGGTGAAGCATTGTAGTCTAAGGACACATCTGTTGCAGCCGAAGCGCAACCTATCTGGCTCAACAACAAAAGTGCAAACCGTCACATCTCTCTGACTGCTTCTTACGATGATTGATCCTCTAACTTCAACCAACCAACACAACTCCGTTCCTTAACCAAAGCGACGCTCAAGCAACAGTGATCAATTAGTATTACAAAGCTGCTTGTTAGTTAAAGAGTTAACAGTGTCAGGCGACTCTAGGAATGTACTGCACTGTGTTTTTTTGTTTTTTCATTTGATGAAATTAGTTTTTTAAGTGGTTTTGATTTATAGGTTTTCCGGTTATATTTGTAAATGTATAAATACTTTCACATCTCCAAATATCTTGGCATCAAATTTCCCCTTATTCTTTGTGTGGGGTTGCTGCATTTAGCGGTAGTAATTCTCTGGGTGCTGTCCTCCCAAGAAACGTGTGTTGTGTGTGTGGGTGTATGTTTGTCAGTGTGGGCGTGTAAAGTGTGAATGTGCATGATAAGAAGATTTATCACTTTGACATGATCTGGGAAACTATGTAAAGGTTGGATGATTTCCAACCAGTATTGTGGGCTTTTCACGATATCTTAGGTAAAGTGTTGTCTTGATTCGGCTACTCTATTCGGGCCCATCCACTTCGCTGACATAATGATGATTATAAATTATATTATTAGTATGTTGTTGAAGCCCATGTATTATCCTGTTGATTTTTAACTAATACTCCCTCCGATTAAAAAACAAGTTCCACATTTCCTTTTCGGGCAGTTCCAAAATTAAGTTCCACTTTCAAACCTTTTTTTATTTGACAAATTATCTACATCAAAACAGTTCCAAACAGTGTCAAACAGTGTCCAAACAGTGCCAAATAGTGCACTCCACATTAAAGTCAAATTTCTTTTCTTAATATGTGTGAAGTCAAATGTGGAACTTGTTTTTGAATCCGAAGGAGTATTTGATAACCATCTTTCACTTTGCTCCCTTTCAGTACATAACTATCGTTCTTTGTCACTTGTTGTTCTTTAGACGATATTTTTGGTATTTAAAATCATACTACGTAGGAATTAATTTCACATTTGGTCATATAAATTTTATGTTACACATTTAGTGCACTTTTACTTGGTACACTTTTGGCATTTCTCGTCTAGTTTTCTAATGCCTCTCCGATGATTTTAACCACCGAAAATATCAACGAAATGACCATATATGGACCAAAAACAATAGTCATGTATTAAAAGTGATCAAAGATAAAGACTTAGACTAAGAATGTTTTTACTTGGATTGTTTTTAGTTCCAGACCAAACTTGGATAGTTATAAATACACAGAGAGTTAGAGACTAGTCGTTACCAGATCAGAACAGATCAAACCAGAAAAATTCAGTCTAAATAAAAATGTCCTAATTGTGGAATTGGTGCAGTACTCATAAGACTAAAAATGGAATTTATTCATGTAAGAAATTAGGTCGTAAAGTTAAGAGTGGAAATGAAACAATAGACAATAGTAATGGATTAAGAGGGGGCCAATTTTAAAAAGTGGACCAAGTTTGAGATTGAAATTTGTAAGTGGACTTAATTGACTTAATTCTTTTAATAGGAACAAATGCTATTATAGGATTACTAGTATTAGCTAAATATATCCCCACCTATCATGAAATTCACAAATCTATCTCATACTTTCACTTTTATTAAAAAAGATTCAAGCTTCAACTTTTCTCACAATTACACTTTATTTCAATGGATGAATTAGTACAAATTAGAAGAAAATTATATTTATATTTCATATTTTTTCACTTTTTCTAGTTTTAAACTTACAAAATTGTATTGCTTATATATTATTGGTATTGATAAAAATGTGTAATTTAAAAAAAAAAGCACTATTGTTGGAAAACATGAAGTTTAAGTCTTTTTTTTGATAAAAATGAAAGTGTAGAATAGATTTGTGAATTTGATGATAGTTTGAGATAAAATAAGCTAATAAGAATTCTACTACAATTTGCATAAAGACGGAAGAATCACTCAGTGGAGGGTGGCGAAACGCCACATCCAACCGACTTTAGTTTGTTTCGTATGTAAAAGCATAGTACAAGACTACTAGTAGATAGGATGGAATAATTATATGTGTATAGACATAGGCATGCATATACATACAAGCATATTTGCATACATACATATGTATGTGTGTCTATATATAGCATCTAGTTCTAGTTCTGAAAGAAGGGTATTAAGAACTTTGGGTCATAAGGTTTTGGGTTCACCGTTCACGTCCCCTTCATATAACACGAAAAGCACTTGAGGAATTATTAGAAAATATTAACACATAATATAACCGTACTTGTTAGTGCTAGTTGATGTTTGATATTATTAGAATTTAGAAAACTTAGATCTAAAGTGCACTTCATGTTATTTAGTTATTTACCTCGGGAGGAATTACGGTTATTTGCTTGCACAATCATTTAAACATCTGACATCTTGATCATGAATATATGTATTATGAATACATATACTCCCTCCGGTTCTTAATTAAGTTCCTAGTTTGACTTCACTGTGGAGTGCAATGTTTGACACTGTTTGACATTGTTTGACACTTTTTAGCACTGTTTTAGTATAAATCATTTACCAAATAAGAAAATGTTTGAAGTAGGAACTTTAATATAAACCATCTCAAAAAAGAAAGAAAAAAGGACGGAGGGAGTATGTAAAAAAAAAGGACGGAGGGAGTATATATGTAACATGTGGGGATGTATGCATAGGTGTGGATGTGCATATAGTACCTTTTCATAATGTGGTGATGTAAATCGCAGAAGGGGTGGTGGAGAAGAAATGTTGGCCCATGATGATGTGTACCGCACCCAATGAATCGGACATGTTCCTTTATGTCATATACTAAGGCTACCCGCAACCCTTCGCCGTCAATAAATCTACTTTCCCACCAGTTTATACGTATTTACTCGGTCAATTCAATTTTTCCTGCAACCCAGCACCGTCAATATATTCACTCAGTAAAGTTTTATTGAATTGAATCCTTACTTATGTTTTTATACATCAATTTTTTGTCATTCTTTTTTTATGAATAATTATGATTTGAAATATCAAACATTCCGATGTAAAAATAAATAAATTTGGAGTTTTATTTTTTTATTGCTACTTCTGACCTATTTTTTCGAAAATTAAGTGAAAAGTGTAAATAAATATTTTAACCATTGGATCTTAATATTAGCATTTGGATCTCTAAGATTTTGGGCCTAAAAATCTCAAACAGATGAAACTTCATACGTAATACTTTTTAAAAAAAATATATATATAAGAGATATTGATGTCATATGAAAGATAATTAAAAATTATGAATTTTGATATATTTTTTATAAAAATTAAATTAATAATAGAAAAGTTAAATCATTTTCAAAAAAATTGGGATATTTTATATTCGTGGGCCCTTGCTTATGGAAGTAGTGCAGACTTGCTCCAACTGCTTTCATCACCCGGTGAATAGGGATACCAATTTCCACTCCATGGGGTGCCATTCTCTCAATTTGGCATCCTCGTATACATGGGTTGCAGCAAATTAAGGGATGAAAATCCCAATATTGGCTTTTGACTCTTCGGGTTGCAGTCAGCCTAAGGTTGTCAATCCAAAGTATTTATTATAATATTAATTAAAAAAACTTGGCAATACGCTAGCTACCGCAGACGAGGCTCCGAGTATTGTGAAAAAGCAAGGGTGGAGAAGTGTTGTGAAATTGGACAAAAGAAGGGAAGCCGACGAAGACAATTTCTCTTTACAAAGCATTTTTTTATGCAGGAAGGATTTAGGGAAACAAAATCTAGCTCAACTTAAATATTCCCCAAGTACCATCATTACAACATTATTAGCACCTTGATTTTAACGAGTTAGGTTGATGACAGTGAATTTATACTAATATAAATTAGATTTATCAAACACTTCACAAAAACACGGGATTAACACACGGTTCGCCAATAATATTCAAGGATTTGGCCGGGAGGTGTCAAATCCGTACCAAAACCACTTTGATACGAGCTAATACGTATTTGACATGAAATCATCAATCTATCTATATCAAATTCGTGTTAATCCCATTTTTTTTGTAGTGAAAATAATTAACACAAAAGATTATGGAAAAGACACCGTGGTAATTGTGATTTCTAACTTATTTATTTAGCTGAAATAAATGTTTACCAAAAGTTTTATAGTATAGATTTGTAATTTATAATAAAAAATACACACAGGCATAAATGTTTGTCTTTAAAGCAATGCCTCCTTTGGATTAAGAATTTAAGATAGATACATGACACTAATCTGACTCATCCCATATGTGGACTCTTCATATATCATATAGTTATTATATCGACATGAGTTAAATGAGGTCCATTCTTAGCTTTTTGCATCATTCATTTAGATCAACCCTGTTTTGTTACCATCATAACCTGAGTGAATTTTTTATATCGTACTCCGTATAAGTTTCTTATAGTTTAATTCGTTTCAATCTTAACAAGGTCAAAATAAAATTAATTTAGACACAAGTCAATATTTCTCTAATAACACTGAAATATTGTGTAATTAGTCAAGTCTACCATGGCTTAAATAAAACTTAACTGAAATGATGTGTAAAAGAGAAACTAAAGAGTGGACATATTGGTAAACACTCCATTTAAATATGTTTTGCATATGCCCGTACATTTTGTAGGTATACATGCAGTTCATTAAAAAAGGATTTTTTTAGACAAATATGACTATAAGTTTAATCATTAAACATAAGTTACTATGATTCGATTAGTATTTTTTCACTAGTCACATTTTTGTAATAGATTTTTATTTTAGTCATAAAAGAAGAAGCCAAAAGTTAAACCATACTACTACTATAGTAGCATTGTTCTTCAATTGCTATCTTAGACCTTTTTATCAATGTGTGATGACTCAAATTTTATTCATGAAAAAGTTATAAATTCATCACAAATGGTGTCGGTACACATATTTTGTACACATTTTGTATATACCCGATAGTTCTCTATCTACATATGCAATTCGTTCCTAAGAGTCTTGTAGACAGACAACTAGGCGTGTGCATAAAAGGTGGGCAAAATATGGACACACTAAGTGTGGTTAATTTTTTTTTAACTTTTTTGAATAATTTAGATTAATTTTAGATCTCTTGATAAATTTCTTGATAAATTTATATGCATGTTTAATGGATATGGAATTCGAGACTCCTATATTTATGGTTGAACACTCTTATATGCATGATTATCATGATAATCATAATGAGAAATGGGGAGTTAGTGTACCATCTTTTGAATGGTAATATATGTAGCTAATTGGTTTCGGAATAGTATAATTATAGCTAGGATAAATGTTTATTCATGACTCATTGAGCGGAAAAATAACTTTAATCCGCTCGACATAGTTAGAAACGCAGGAACTCAGATCATATTTGCCGATTCCGACTCACTGAGTCCACCAAAATTTAAACTCCAATACCAAAACTGATGATTCCGGCGCCGGCGACTTTATTCCTTAACTAATCAAAAAAAGAGGTTGAGAAGCTTTGGCTCTTTCCCGGCGGCGTCTCTCACGCCCCGCCACACACTCTCAGAACTTCCATACACCTCCGATGATGACGTCTCCGCCGGGATCCTTCTCTGCTGAGCACCGCCGTTGATCGTTGGCAACGGACGGCTCCATAGATGGGACGGCTGAGATTGGGTAACCACGGACTGACCTGGTTGAGTCCACGCGCTCTTCTGGAAGGTTCCTGATGGTTCCCGGGTATTAGGAGGGTTCAGACAATCGGCCGCGATCGGCTGCAGAGCTCCGCCGGCGAGAACAGTCTCCACCGCTTGTACGCACAAGTGCCAATTCCCGGAGGAGAGAAGCCCCACCGCACCGCCCACCGGATTCACCGTCCGTCCACATGCTTCGTATAACAACGACCTAAACAGAGCTGCTTTAATTTTCATAAAAAAACCCAGATTATACATGCAGTCGATTTTGAATTTCAGACACAAAATTGAATAAAAATGAAATTGGAGTTGACGGAGAGGTGGTGTTTGGGTGTACCGGGTCTGCGGTGGACGGGGACGGAGGAGATGAACGACATCAGGTCGGCACGGCCGAAGAATTTGGAGACGAAGAGAGTGGCGTTAGCTTGGGCTTGAGCGTTATCCAGCTCATCCAAACACGGTCTAAGGATGCAATTGGGCCCACATCCTCTTCGAAGCACCTTGCAGCCATTGCAACTCATCTTTCTTCTTCTGCTATACTTGAGAATAGGAAAGAAGAAGAAGAAGCAGAGAAAAGAAATACTCTGTAGAGAAGAAAGTGTTTGGATGGCTGTGGCTCCGATCAGAAACAGATAAATATAAGAGTAATGGTAGGTGACATCATCATGGAACAATTATTTCATAAACATTCCTATCTTTTTGTCGTATTTTGCAAATATACTTCTTGTTTAGACTTTAGAACACTTGGTATCACCCCAACATCGTGCTCTCATACCCAAAACGATATAATTTCGCATTTAAAAAACAAATGTGTGAACAGTAACGCGTGAACAGTAATTTTTTTCCCTTTTTGTTCCAATGGCATAAATGGTGTAACTCGCGTGTAAATTAATGTAACTCACGTTATTAATTTATGTAACTCAAGTCTGGTCGAAATGTAACTTGTTATATACATGGTATAAGAAATAAATCATTGATTTCAATATAAACAATGAAAAAAGAAGTCTAATTGCTCAATTAATTTACATAAATAATGAATATGTTTTGTTTTTAATATCATGATCATAAAAATGATTTTAAAAAAATGTTTTAGTAGTAGGGGTTGATTTTTTGGTGTAACTCATGTTATTATTTATGTAACTCACGTAGATGGCAAATGTAATACAGGCGTATATAAATGTAAGTTGAGTAATAAAAGATGTAACTCAATGTAAAATGTAACTCAATGTATTATGAGATGTAACTTTAGCATGTTTAAAGGTAAATGGCCTTTAGGGAAGATGTAACTGGCCCATTTAAGTCATTCATATACAGAGTACGTTGCGCATGTTCATCCTTGCGCATCCTGGACATCTATGTTGGTGAAACTGCAGGACAATTGCGGCCAAAATAAGTTCCATAAGCTTCGGATTCTTTATCACAACATATATATCAGACCAGCAACAGTAGCAAGTAACAACCTCCTGAATCGATCTTAGACGTAATATCTCAATAACCAGGGAGGGCGACGACCTCTCAATCGCAGATTGAGACCAAAAATTGGAACTCAGGGAGGGCGACGGCAGCTTGGACGGCCATCTGCGAATTGGCGGAGTTGCACTCCAAGACAGATGCACAATTATAAAGAGGGTGGAGGAGGTTTGGAAAGTTTTAACAAAAACGATGCCGTTTTGCGACCGGGCACACCATCGTCATGGTGCGCCGGTTGCACGGTATAATTTGCGACATTCAAACGGACCAAATTACTTAAATCTATTAAAATTGGTGAAATTTTAGCTGGAACTATTCAATTTGTTGAACCATTTAAAATATATTTTATCAATAAAATAAAAAAAAGTATATGAAACATACAAAGTACGGAGTATATAAAATGAACATTTGCAATAATTTCAGTCAATTGGAAAAAATATAACTGCATCCTTATTCATTTTGTCAATAATTCAACGCATAAAATAAAAAGTTACGCATTTGATAAAAAAAAATAACCGATAAAAGTGATAACCTGAAAATGAAGTTACCAAATGAGCTTTAAAATTATTTGAACCATATTTGAACCATAAAATTCTTTCATTCATATTCTCCACTAAATATTTTCTTCTATCTTTTCAAATTTCGTGCGTGTTTAACGAATTAACGGTTCTATTCAATTCAATCTTATATTAGGAAGTATCCCAATATACTACTGACTACTCCGTATGAAGGAATTTAACAGTTCACAACTTCACATTTTATTTATGTGATAAATACGTACTCCTAAA